TTTTGCGCAGCATGTATATGTACAAAGGCCCATCTATGGACGAGGTCATGAATGCCGTGGTATACTATTGTTTGAATAAACAAAGTAAATATACAGGGCTAGAGAGCTCAAGCATGCTGAGGATGTCAACTGCAGAACTTTTCTTAAGGGCCAGAGGGGAAAACAACTCTGAGGATATTTGTATTCATGCACGTATTCCACAATAACAGAGAACGTCCAAGACTGCATTACAAGCAAGCACTCTACCTGTCAAGCAACTGTAAATTACAGGGCAGCTGTAACGTCATGAAACATATTGTGTCTCTGTCTGAGCAACTATATGCACCTGACAGACTGATTCAAAGGGCTGCACTGCTGACAACACAAAAACTTGTCTTGAATGTCAAGTAGTGATGGTTGTTTTTCCAACCGCAAGCCCTAATACTCAGCAACCATCTCCAGTCTACTGCATGAGTCAGATCCGTTACATACCCATTGTATTCAGTCCGCAGACACACTTTGAGAGGGCTGTTGATGTTACACTCAGTGATCCCAATAACGGATCCACTCTTCCAGGGAATTAATATATCACGGCAACTTTCAGCGCCTGCAACAACTGCTCAGCGAGCTTCAAGTGCAGCACTGTGATATTACGCAAATATACCTGTCTTCATGTCTATATAAGTGGAAGCACTTGAGATCTGTTCAAGGAGACAACTTTATTGATTGCATCATTTTTAGGAGTCTCTCTGTGCCCGGCAGGATTCAGTAACTGGGGCATAAAAACAGTCACCGATGCAAAAATAGACCAAAGATGACTACAATTGTGTGCCACTTTCTGGGCCCCAGACAGACATCCTACAGACATCCTCATGACATTTTCTTGGGTGAGACAAAAGCACAGGGGCATTGTCTTCAAGATCAATACTGAACACAGAGGTCAGCTCAGCCCTCGGGGTTAAAGCCTCCTTCAAATTGAACTTGCAAGGTCATGTTTTTAACACCAACAGTTGAGAACACAGTGGGCTTTGTGTCGCAGCGGTTTACCGCATGAAAACACTGTATGCAACTGACGAAAAAAATGGATGTCACCTTTTCAAATATGGAGAATGACTTTGTGTATTCTGTATTGTTTTGTTGCATTTCAATGTCAGACTTATAAACTAGAAAAGAAAAAGACTAGATTCAACAACATGCTGCATATTTAAATCCATTGCACTGCATTACATCATCTCAAAATCCCCATCTGCAAAGTTATGAATAACATTACAACACGTCACTCAAATGAACTTCAAATCAGAAATTGATCCTTTAACACAAAGCATCTGATTAAATTATTAATACCAGGACTGGATCCAATCATTCCCAGTGTACTAAAGTAGTCACTACTTGTAATTTGGATATTTTTGAATGAAACAGAAGGGAAACGAGATCCTAGAGCTCTTATTTCTGAAAAGTCTGAACTTGCCAGAGGAAAGTCAACACAAGCATGGAGGAAGAAAAGCCATGTTTTACAGGAGCACAAAGGGGGGGTCATGACCCAAATCCCAACATCCTCTTACTGGATAAACAGGTTTTTATTGCTGTGGTTTTACCAACAGACACACAAGCACACCTACGCACACACCTACACACACACAC